CTTATTGCTTGTTAAATATCTGCCCCATCTGGCTTAATTTCCACCTTCGTGGTTTCCCTACTGTGCAAAGTTAATTTTATGTTGAATTGACATTGAAGACCTAATTTACAAACACCAAGGTTCATGACAAAGGAAGTGCAAACCTATAGAACGAGGTTGCATCTCCAACGGTTTTCAGCTTTCTTTTCTTTAGAGAGAAAGAGAGAGAGAAGTGCATATCTGCATGAATGTGTTGGGAAAGCCACAACCAGGATACAATTCAAGCCAATAGCACCATGCTGCTTGACTCAGTAGCCCTAATCCATGCAAAAACCTACACTTTCAGAGGTACTTTAGCCTTCTAACTCATCTCAAACATAGGAGAGGATTGCTCATTGATCAAGCCATGGAAGTAGGATTAGCAAGAAAAGCCACTAGAAGAATCAAGGATCCAAACTATTTTATCTCCCCCAACGGCATTAAGGAAATCGGTCGAAGACTAGTGACCCATGTGAAATGAACTTCCAAGGGCACCAAAATGAGCCCCTAACAACCACTTTCAAGGTCCAACTATTTGGATCTAGTCAAGGATCAAATTTTCGTTTCGGTGCATAGTTTTGGTATGCTTGAAAATGAAAATATTTCAAAAACAAGATAGAAACAAAGAAAATTTTGAAAATTTATTTTCGCAACATTGATCGAACCATGCCGAAACATCTCGAAACAAAAAAATTTTGATATTCAATCAATTATTTGTTTCGGTTTCCATGAAAACAGAAATGTTGCGACCGTTTCAAAACGAAATTTAGTTCCTTGGATGAAGTCCACATTTGCTTTTGATTACCTCACGCCACAAAGCACCCTGTTTGAGTGAAAACCTCCACAAGCACTTTTACCTAACAATGCAAATATTTTTCTTTACCAAATTTTTCACCCTCATACCCCTTTTACTTTTTGATTTGGAGACCACCTCCCACCTAACAAAATGATCTTTTTTTTCCATCCCATCTCATATCAACCTTAAAATTTTAAGGGCAATCTTTTTAGGGATTTTAAAAAGGGATAAAAAATAAATAAGAGTAGTAGACAAAACCAATTGTAGTACACTAGTCTCCCTCCCCTTGAAGACACGTTTTTTTCCACCCCTCCAATCTCTTTTGAATTCCCTCAATGACCAGGTTTCAAAAACTCTTTGATACACGATCTCCCCCTAGAGGAAGGCCCAAGTTCTTTAGGGGCCATTCCCCAACTTCACACCCAACTCTTTCAGAAATCCTATCTAACCTCTCTTATTGAATGTTAATTCTCACTATTAGACTTTTAGAAATATTTACTTTCAATCTTGATATAACAATAAAAAATTTCAATTACCTCTACAACATTCTTAAATTTTTCTTCATCAACAAATATAAAAAATTTATTTATCTGCAAATATGAATGTGACACCTCCACAAAATCCCTACCTACCTGGAATCTCACAATAAGATTATGATCTCTAACCCAAAACATAATAATCTATTCTTCTATCCTCCCTTCATTCTCTAACATACTCCATCTTCTTCATCCAACTTTGAAATAAGATTATTCTTTCTCCTCCCATTTTCTACCCAATAGAATAACTTCGAGTTATTATCTCCTTCTTTGGCCCTTAAAACTTCTTCAAGTTATTATCTCCTTCTTTGGCCCACTATAACTTATCTTTTTGTCTCCATGAAATCTCTTCTTTAAACACCACTTCCTCAAATTTATTTCTAAGAATATTCTTTTCCATCCTTAAAATTCTCACTCAGCCCTCCTCAATACAGTTACAAATTTTATTGTTTTCCATCCTACCATCACCAAACACTTCTCTATTCCAAACCTTCAGTTTCCTTTTTAACATGTTCAAACTTCTTCATAAACCTAAAACCTTTCATCCATGCAATAAAAATCATTGCCACCAATCTTTAAAACTTCTTTTAAATAAATGATGCTCTAACCACGTATTTTCAAGTGTAAATAGAGTCAGACCCCACCTGAAAACAGTAGAATCTAGCACAGTAAGAGAATGATCAGACACAACCCTAACTAAAGCATCAAGCCTGACATTTCAAAAAAAATTCTCCCACTCGGACGAGAACAAAAATCCATCTAGCTTGCAACACACCAAATTCATTCTACCATTCAACCAAGTAAAAAATGCATTATTTAGAGGAGGATCATTCAGATTTGTTTCCCTAGTAAGCTTATTAAAAACTTTCATACTTCTAGTGGCCTTGCCCCAATTCATTTTATTAGATACAAATCTAGGGACATTGAAGTCACCCTCTAAACACCACCTAGAACCACATAAACCACACAACTCTGCTAGCTCTTCCAATAAACCCTCCTAAGGCGATACTTATTTGGCCCATTAATTCCCGTCAACCACCAATTTCTCCCATCTTTCATTTTAAACTGAACTGAAATAAAAAAGTCCCCTAAAATTGACTCTAAGGTTGGCATTACCCTAACATTCCACATAATAACAACACTACATGTTATACCACAATAAGGCAAAAAAAAACTAGTCCTAAAAGCTAGCACCCAAACACTTCTTACCAACCTCCGGTCAATACTTTCCTTTTTAGTTTCTTAACATTTTACAATGTTTGGATCATTTTTAATTCCCACTACCCTTATTGCTTTCCCCTTTTCCTACACCCAAGGCCTCTCACATTCCAAATAAGAATATTCATTAATACTGACATCACACCCATTATCCTTCATAAGATTATTACCCTCATAATTAACCCCAGATTTCAAAATTTTTAATTCCCTTAAACCTTTTTGATCTCTTTCCTTTAACTATTTTCTTTGTCCTTCCCTTTAAAAGGCACCGGTGAAAAGTCTACAAAAGCCAAAAAATACCTCAATCTATCCCACCCTTTCTCATCAAAAAGAAAATACCTAATCACACTCTCTAACTCCCCCGCCTTATTAAAAGGACTACCTCCCTTCACATCTAACTGCTCTACTGCATCCACTACTACCAAATCCCATCCACCTCCTAACTGACACCTACCCTCCACACTAACCAAAGAGTCTATGGCATTGTTGTTATCAAAAGGAATTGTTTCCATTCCCATCCCCACAGCACCACACTCATCCCGTGGTAAATTAGGTCTCAAAACTCTACCTCTGGAAAGACCCTTCTCAGGTTTCACAATCTTGTGTTCCCCAGATGATTCGTCCCTAAAGGAGGAGATGCTGGGAGAGTGTCATCGCTCCAAGTTTGCTATCCACCCCGGTAGCACAAAGATGTATAGGGATATGAAGCGTCAATACTGGTGGAGGGGAATGAAGCGAAATGTGGCCAAGTATGTGGCAAAATGTGCAGTGTGCCAGCAGGTGAAAATTGAGCATCAAAGGCCAGGAGGAGTCCTACAGTCTTTGTCTATTCCAAAGTGGAAGTGGGATCACATCACCATATACTTCGTGTCGGGTTAACCACGGATGTCGCGCAGGCATAATGCAGTGTGGGTTATTGTGGATAGACTCACCAAGTCCGCTCACTTTTTGGGTATGAAGACCACGGATACATTCGAGACTTTGAGCCAGCTGTATATCCATGAGATAGTGAGGTTACACGGCGTTCCGCTCTCGATTGTGTCGGATCGTAACTCTAGGTTTGTGGCGAAATTCTGGCAGAGTCTACAACAAGCGATGAGGACGGAGTTACACTTTAGTACGGCTTTTTCATCCCCAAACGGATGGCCAATCCGAGAGGGTGATACAAATTGTGGAGAATATGTTACGTGCTTGCGCGTTGGACTTCAAGGGGAGTTGGAGCGACCACTTACCGTTGGTGGAGTTTGCTTACAACAACAGCTATCAAGAAAGTATTGGGATGGCACCGTATAAAGCATTGAATGGAAGACCATGCCGATCACCGACGTGTTGGTTAGAAGCCGGCGAGAGTAGTTTGTTTGGACCGGACATTGTTCGAGAAACTACGGAGAAGGTTCAACTTATCCGAAAAAGGCTACGGACGACGCAAAGTAGACAGAAGAGCTATGCGGACCACAGACGAAGACCCTTAGAATTCAAGGTGGGAGACTACGTATTTCTCAAGGTGTCACTCAAGAAAGGCGTGTTTCGATTCGACAAGAAGGGAAAGTTAGCGCCAAGATATACCGGACCGTTTGAGGTAATCAAAGTGGTAGGCAATGCGGCATATCAACTTCGACTACCAGCCCAGCTATCCGGAGTACATGATGTGTTCCACGTGTCTATGTTGAGAAGGTGTCACTCGAATGCAACTCCAGTCGTGAACTTGGAGAAGATTGAAATTCAAGACGGAGCAACCTACGAAGAACAACCGGTAAAAATTCTCGACGCCCAGAAAAAAATACTTCACAACAAAGTTATCAGATTGGTGAAGGTTTGTGGCAACACCATGGAGTGGAGGAAGCTAGTTCGCTACTTGAGGTAAGTTTCGAAGATGAAACTTTCTTTAAGGGGGGTGGATTGAAACACCCCGCATTTTCTTTTATATATGTATATAGATATATAGTAAATAATTATGATAAAAAAAATGTGGATATATGTAGTGATGTGTGTTTTGAATTTGGTAGATTGAAAAAGTAGAGATTTAAAATGTTAGTGAAAATAATAGTTGAAATTTGATTTTAATAAGTGAAAATATGAAATTTTAGGTCCTAAAACTTGTATTAAATAGGTTTGGTGTAGAAATATGTGTTGGAGAGGTTTGGGATAGATTTGGTTGGCTTAGGAATGGATTGAAAATGAAAAAGGGACGAAGACAGGCTATGAACAGTGCACTGCTATAACTTCAAGCTCGATTTCGACCTTGATGCAGTCAATATCTCTCAAAACTCAAAACATGAAAGTTTTAGAGCTCTTTCGTATCATTCCATAATATCTTGAATCATCTCAATCGGAGCTTGGATGAGAGAGTTATGCTCAGATAACGAAATGATGTCGAAATAATCTAATTAGCTTCGTTTTGCATTTAATGTCTCCATTTGTATCCTAAATCAAAATATAAAAATAATGAGTACTTTTAGACTTCAAATAAGTATAAAAGGCTTTAAGAAACACCCTTTATCACCTTTTATTTGCAAACATCGCAAAACTTCATTAATAGCCGATTCGGATGGGTAAAATAGAAACTTTAGTGTTTCGGGTGTACGTTGACTTGGGTGTTGAGATAAATCATAAAAATAAATATTTTTAGGTTAAAATAACATTAAAAATGAATCCGGAACGTCAAAAAACCTTAAGGTAGTCATATGGATCAAATTAGAGATTCTTAGTGGCAAAACCGTAAATTTGGAGAAACCCAAAACAGCCTGTGAACAGTATTTTTCGGGGCTGCTATATTTTAAACTCATTTTCATCTCATTTGCTCTCATTTCCTTCACTCCCCTCACACCCCCACACCTCTTGAAACCCTAGAGGGCATTAGAGAAGAAGAAAAGAAGGGAAAAACAAGAGATTCAAGGGTGATTCAAGATCAAATATTTTTTGTTCTTCACTCCAAAGCTAAGGATTCAAGGTAGGGATTTTCTCTCATTCACTTACATTGAGGCTAGGGTATTTATATATGTATGTTTTGGCTATCAATGATATATATATGCTATGGAATCATCCTCTCTTAGGCTTTTTGCAAGGATTACATGTTTTGAACAAAGTAGAGTTTAATACCCATGAAATCTCCTTTCTAGTTTTAAAACCCTAATTTTTGGAGAGTGATGTATTTCCTTCCTTCCTAAATGCTTTCTTTATTATGGATTTCAAAACCTTAGTGCTTTGTGTTGGGTAGAAAAATGATGTTATTGTGATCTCATGTATTTTCTTAGTTAGTTGTGGAATTGTTATATGATATATTTTAGAAATTTTGGATAGATGCTTGTAAATTGAGATAAATGTTGAAATTTTATGCTTGGTTGGGTTGTTTATGATGCACATGAGTGAGAGGTTCCTTGTAAGGATGTTCACCCCTTCCCAAGAGGTTTCCGATAAGGATGCTTGGAAAATAATGTAGTGATTGATGAGAGGTTCCATGTAAGGATGCTCATCCATTTTCAAGAGGTTCCCGGTAAGGATGCTTGAGAATCAAAGGTGACCTAAAAGGGAGTGGAGGTTACCACAAAGTATGCCGCCTACCGAAAGAATTGTTGAAAATTGGTTATGACAATTAATTGTTATTATTTGTATGTGGTGCTCATTTATTCATTTAAGTAATGTTTTTAAATAAACTTGAGATCCTTTTTAAATGTCACTGCTTTATTTCAAATTATGTGTCTATGTTATGTTAAAATTGAGACCGACCGTTTTAAATACTTTTCTAAACCTTGTATTGGTTTGGGAGAATATTTCTACAGAGCTTCGTGCTCACCCCCTATCGCTAACATTTTTCAGATTACCCGCTTGAGGAGGAGGACGTAAGGGTCGAGGAGCCCGCTACTTAGGAGACTCCACGGGACGGGAGTGTGGATCCTGAGGTGGACGCATAGAGCGACCTCCTTTCCTTTTGTACTAGACTAGGACATTCTTTTGGAACATTGTGTAGTCTAGCTTCTTTTGTTTATTCCGCTGCGCTTCCTTAATTAATTTTTGAGATGTAATAGCCATGACTTGGGCTTATTCTTTTGGATAATGTTGTAAATATTCGTGGATGACAAATGAAGTCTTGTTTCTTAAGGGATTATATTAGTGCTCTCATGATATGAATGGTTTTAGAATGTAATGTCATCCAGGGTGTGTTTTGTGGCGTTACAGTAGCCTGAATTTTGCTCCAAGAATCAATATATACGATTGCCCTGCTCCATTATCCGTAAACAATCATTTCCTTGCTAACATGTGAAGAGGTTCAATAATGATCATTAGGCAAATCCTTCAAATTAGTTCTATGGTTTAAAACACCCAAGCCTATTTTTGTAATCAAAGCCTCCCCTATTTAAACCTTGTACACCTCCCCTGTTTATTGTATCAACACAATACCTACTCTTTGCCTGCAGATTGTTAAAGCCAGCATCAATAAAGTAACCTCTGTAGCCCAAAGAGACATCCAATATCATATTATCCAATTTCCTCCATCCCCAGCCATCAACTACTCTAGGGACCATCAAATAGCATAGCCTCCCATTCACAGACTTTTTAGAAATCCTCATGAACTTATCTCTGTTGTTGTTGTCATTTCCATCCAAACAACAAAGGAACTGCCTCTATACTTTCTGAACAAAGGCTCTGCTGATAGTCCAGCCTTCTTCAAGGAATCTCCCACCAATCTAGCACAATCACCAATAACCTCAATGTCAAAGCTAAACTTCCAACATTTCCCTGTAATATGAAGTTTAGGTACTCTGGAGTTCCAGACACTCAACAACCATTTAGTTTCGATACTTGCTTGTAATTTTAGAGGAGAGAGATCCATTGGATTCCAGGAAACCAGTACACCTTCCAATTAATACTCATGTACAGTTCTCTCTTAGATTTTTGCTTCAGTGCTATTAAAATGCATCAAAACATGTGATGGAGACAGCAAGTGGAGGTTAATTGTTTTTTGGTTATTTTTTCTGTGCTTATTTCAACATCAAAATATGAAGCCTTGGTTTTCAGATACAAAAAATATATGATGGAGAGATCAAGTGGAGGTTAATCAATTTTTAGATATTTTTTTCTGTGCTTATTTCCACATCATAATTTGCAGCTTTGGTTTTTCAGATTAAAAAACAAAGTTTCTTTGGCCCTTCTCAATTCAATAGATATTTATAAGGAATTTTAGGTATTTTCGCTCTTATTCAGTTCGTAGAATTTATATTTGTTCAATAATTGGATAGCTACCTAGCTGTAAGTCTGTGACCTTGCAGTATGAATATATTCATGAGAATTGTGAATTGTGAATGTGTGATCTGATTCTGGGTTCACATATTGTTGTGTTCTCTTTCGTCCTCTTTATTGCATTTAAACATATTAAATTGTTCCTACTTCTTTCTGCCTCACTTATTTATCAGTAGAGATTTTTTTGGCAATTTTTCATTAATAGTTTCCTATATGGCATGATTTGACTTCATGGTTGAAGGGCAGTTAGCCCAAATAGTTGAACTGGTCACCGTTGACACCGGTCATTTTTCAGGTTTGCTGAATGGTCCAAATCACAAAGATTGATGTTCAATAGGATAACAAATCCTCCAAAGCCAAATGCTAAATGCTTCTACTGTTCCAATTAGTATGTGTGATTGTGTGTGTGTGTGTGTGTGAGAAAGAGAGAGAGAGAGAATTAAAAAGCTACAGGGTTCTATTTCAACATGAAGCATAAGTTTAGTCAAACACTAAAATACAACAACAGATTTTGAAGATTCATCATTTGCCAAAAAAGAAATCAAACACACCAACACATACCAGGTTATAGCTAATACAGGCACCTCATACCATAAAAAGTGCAAATCCTTAAACAGATACTTAACAATCCATAAGAGGCATGTGGAAAGGGGGATTTGTTTTGGATCATTGCAATATAGTCTCACTAAAATGATGGGCAAGGCTGAAACTAAAAGGGATAAAATAAATATAACTTACAAGAGACAATGCTGAAAATATAGTTAGAACCCAGTCTCCATTGCCGTCAGCATGAGAGAGATGACCATGGTGCAATTTAGCTACTCAAAACCCAAAAGGAGTAGACAATCACAAGAAAAAAAAATTAGGTTCTGGGCACAAATCATGGAACAACACAACGATTAGTCTATAGATTAAATAATATAGGTTGCACCCTGCACCAAATGATGAAGTAAAAGTAAACCTTGTTATGCAAAGGTACAAGAAAGTTAGATTAGAGATATGAACACAGCAACTTGTTTTCTCATGGTAAATCTTCTCACTAATACTTAGAAGCCAACACAAGATAGATTCCATATGATTTTGCCTCAAAGAAAATAACTGAAGTGATAAATAAAACAGGTAGAAGGAAAGCTATCACAAACTCCCAAAAAAGAGCAAACTTTTCTTTCTTTTTCTCTGTTCAGAGAGGTTGGGGTGTTGGGTAGCTCAAATTATATGTGAAAAAGTCCCAAAGAGGGGTGAATAGGACTATGGAAATTTTATTGCAATTCCCTCTTAAGCGCAAGTCCTTTTGGTCATATTGTTTTAGACTTTTAGTAATTTCCAAAGCAGGGGTATTTTGGTTTTTCTAGACTTTCCAAATCATTAGTCTATTAATGCCTTCTCTCAAAGTGTGAAAGATATTCAAAATTACATAGGAATTGTCTGTTTAGGCTTTAGGCAGAACATACAGGTTCTGCAGGGACCAATTCTGTAGGATTTTGTCTCAGAATGTTGGCAGTCGACTGGTAGACCCAATCGATTCGACGTTGACTGGGAACGTCCTGGTCAACTACAGTACAGCCTACCGAAGCAGGCACCCCTCTTTGCTTAGGCTAATATATTCAATCCAAACTAGCACGCTAGACCTAACCATATGTCCATAAGAAATGGAGATTGAGGTCTCAGCTCAAAAGTTAGAGTAGAAAGGTTTGTTGAGTCCTACTACGTTTAAGGAAGAATTATATACATCTATAAGGCCTGCAATATTCAACGATACTGGGGGGTTAGATAGAGTTGAGAAACAACATAAAAAAAATGGGGGGTTAAGATGGATGAGTTGCAACCAAGAATAAATTAAGTGAGAATCAAATTACATTAACAATACGTGATGTAAAAAAACTAGTACCAAGAGAATAAATATGAGTGAAAAGTGTCCTAGATGGTTTGAATACATCTGGTGTAAATCAATTGATGAATTAGTGCAAAAACTGTGTCAGATGACACATGGTTGAAGCAAAGAAAGGCCCAGGGGATGGCCAAAACAACGACGGTTGAATCGTGAAAAGATAGAACTGTTTGGTCTAGGAACTTGATTGGCAATTTACTGACTTGTATTGCAGCCCAACGATAGACACATGAAGAAGAGTTGACGCAAGCCTCAAGCTTGAAGACTTCAACAAGGACTAACAAGCATCTACTTAAAGATGAATTCAAGTATAAAGGGGACCAGTCTTAGAGTCACAAGCAGTCTAGATTAAAAGCTTAGACTTACTCCCAAAAAAAGGCTAGGAAAGTTGCCCTGGCTAAATATCAACTGAATGTCTACTGGACGAAACAAAGCTAATCACCTAGCCTCCAATACTAGTCCTAGTTGACTGGCCCCTAGAGCTAGTCAATTAACCCCGTCAGATTCTAAAAGAATCCGACTGTTGGATTAGCTGTAGGTGCACCCATTATGTACACCATCTCAGATGTCAGTGGACAATCTCCTGTTGTGTGATTGTAACATCCCATACATACTTATTAGCTAGCCTCTTTGGGGAGTGATTTCGGAAAGCTTTAGCGAGACTTGACATCATTTCCTCACCACCACAAAGCTCATTAGTTTGAAGAATTTGAAGAGAAACATTGCACAGCATTAACTATTGTTTCTTGAGGTAAAAATTGCTTTCATACGTGTATTTAAACACCTTAATTCCCCCAGTCCCTGCACACTAGAGATAGGCTTAGCTCATGGTAAGCCTGAAAGTCGTCGTGAGCTTGGATTGCAATTTGCATGTAAGCTTGTCTGAACGAGAGACTATAACTAAGTGACTAAGGTAAAGTGGTGGTGTTAGGAGGCTTTGAATGAACCAAGAGAAAACCCATCGAGGTACTTCTTCTCATTAATTGCAGGTTAGCCTAGATAAAATCTTCAAGAAATCCCAAATAAAGGAACATCTGGGTAAGAAAGTGGTTTACCCATTTAAAAACCACAAGGTTATTGGCTTAGCTTAAAAAACCATAAGTAGTGGATTGAGGCCCAACCGTGAAGTTTGGAAGAGTGGTGTGAGCCAAAGGGTTAGTTGAACCACTAAACAATGTGCCTTCACTTGTCATTTACTTGTTTTCATATTTACTTGTTCTTCTAAATGTTTTAATGATAGAAGCTGCATAATCACACCCAACTTCAAAATTGATTTTTGATAATGCATGAATTGCAAATTTGAATAGCCATAGAAATCAATGGATTTTAATTTTTTAGGCACGATTGATAAACACTTCAACAAGCAACACCAAAATGAGAGAGACTGGGAGCTTCTGCCATTAAGCCTAATTGACAAGTTCTTGGACCAGTCGACCAAACCAAATCAACCAGGACACACAGCAGAATTTGTTTTAAGCACTGCTTAATCAACCTAGGGTTTAATTTAATAATAGAAATTGCATTATAAGAAGCAATTAACAAAGGATTGAATTAAATAGTACCGTAGGCTTGAACTAAAAGGTGCAGAAAGTGATAATTAGGACTTACAGAATATTTAGTAGTCCTATTTGCAAAGAGCATTTGTATCCCAGGTAGAAATATTTGGGCCACCCAAGGTTCGTTTATATGGATGAGAGATCTCTCCACTCATTGCCAATAGATTGTGGGCTGGATGTTCTAACATCATGTCAAAGTTGGGCATTAGGTAGTAAGTGGGCCGAGTCTGGCGCATTTGAACGATAAACATGTTTACTTGTTTGTTTGTTAGCCGAATGAAATCCCGGGTCCACACAAGGGAGGGTGTATAGGGAGCTCGAATGCCACCTCAAAAGATTAGAGCCATACAAGATTGGTTTATATGGAAGAGGGTCCTCTCCACTCATTGCCAATTAGTTTTTTAATTAGTGAACCAGTAGGGCGCACATGCAAACTCCCACTTTCCTAGCAAAACAAAAAAGGAAAAGAGAAGATACTCTAAGCCTCTAACACTATTCAATCTGCCCCCTCTGTACCCTCCCTCTAGGACTCTTTCAAGGATTACTTGACATGACCACATACAAGGATTCATTCACACAGAGCCAGCTGGAGAAGACAAATGAATGCACCCATTAAAGCATGTTCGAGGGAATTATGTGGTAAAGATGGTAGAGGGTAAAGGCTATACCATAGTTAGAAAATAAAGTTTTTCCTCTCTCTCCCTATGCCATCCTTAAATTTCCATTGTCAATGTAAGACAACACAATTTGTATATTGTTTATATTTGTTTAAAGAACTGACTAGTTGCTAACAAAAAATGCACTCCAATTATTAAGTTTTCAAGGTACTTCACAGACATTAATCTGAAACACAGGCCACGCAGACTAAGTACTAAAGTAAATCATC